TACTCACCAGGCGCTCCCCGCCGCCTGCAGGAGAGTGTGGTAGGCAGACCCGCAGCACACGCTCTGCACCACACTTTTCACTTCCCGAGTCATTCTCCTTATTCCGGGACCGCTGGGCGGCGCGAGGCGAGGCGCGTGCGCGGGCTGCATAAGGCTCATGCCATTGGGACGCACGGCGCGCAGTCCGACCTCGTGTTACATCACCCATACCGCCTCCATACCGTCACCCGATCGGGGACACCTGCACCATAGGCTATTATTAAAACTACATTGATGCAAATAATTCAAGTCGAACAATGTCGATGGAAAACCTTTAGCAGGGGAAAACGGGGAAAACTGTTTAGTTGTTTTTAAACGTGTGTCGTCGTGTGCACTGCTCTGTCGTGATCATGGGGTGCACTGAACTCGGCTGAACAGACCCGCCGCGCCACTCTGCACTCCACTTCCTGGCCCGGCCAGGGCCCGGCCTGGGCCCGGCCCGTCAAGGTTTGCATGTCACTTCCAGAACGTCTCCAGAATACGGCTGCGGCAACGTGAACAAGCTCAAGCAGCGGCGGGGACCTCGGCGCGGACGTGCACTACATCCTGACGAGCGCCGCGGTGCCGCGCGGGGCGGGGCGGGGAGAGGCGCCACTGCAGAGGCGGACTCAGTGAATCAGCTCTGCTCGGCTCAGCTTCGCTCTTGCGAAACAACAAACTAACTTCTGCCACCGTTGCTCCGCGTTGCTCCGCGTTGCTTCGCATTGCTTCGTTGGCCGCCCGCCAAACACGTCCGGGAGGAGGGCGGGGAGAGCATTTAAGTTCGAAGACCCCGCCGCATCAGGGTCAGACTGCAGCGGCCGCGGGCCGCGGGCCGAGTCACTGCAGCCGTTCAGGTTTGGGACGCCACGAGGACCGCGAATAAAACAACATCTGGCGATGCGGTTATGTCACACAGACCATACCTTTTCCTCAACCGTTCCCTCCGGAACTTTTTCCAACCTCTTCGAGAAGAAGAAAACAATTGATCATGGTTCATATCGATCCTTTGGGTTATTCTTTCGTCGGGGCAGAGCGCTCCGTTCTTTTCCCACGGCCTCCTGCCCGAGTGTTACACCGAAACACTCCAGGCGGGATGAGGGCAGGGATGCCTCTGGTCCAGCCGCAGGCCGAGCCGCCGCGCCGCAGAAACTAATATATAACTGGAGGAAGGCGCAAACCCCTCTTCAGAGCCGTTATGTTACGGGTGCAGTTGGCAGCACTGCGGCGGTGGCGCGGGGGAACGCATGATTGCCAACAGCCACCCTCTGAAACCACATTCATCCTCCGACCGGCACCTCAGTGTGGCCACACCGCAACTACCATAGCGGGGACCTAAATTGATTCTAAAACGAAACAAAACGTTAACAAATTCTTGTTAACAAAAAACCGAACCCTATTTAGAAAGCTACCCTGGCTGGAGGGAGGCCGATCTGGGGCCAGGCCAATGAGCTGGAGGCCCTGGGCAGGCCGCTGGTGCCAGCGCGGGAGCGCGTCGCACCCTGAGTCGCTCTCAGACCCGGGTTCTGTTTAATTCCGTCGGCGCCCTTACGCCACACGTGCGTCCCGCCGCGTCCCGCCCGAGCCCGAGCCTGAGCGGCGCATTGTCCCTGAAGGTGTGCAGCTCCCACGGCGAGGGGTCGCCTGAGAGGGAGCCACTCTGTCTCGCTCCGCCCTGCCCCAGTGGTGGACGCGGTCCTCCAGCGCCTCCA